TATATATATATATAACTCCTTACTATTTAATATAAATATTTTATTTTATTACTATTATTTATTTATTTATTTATTTATTTAATTTATTTATTTATTTAATTTATTTATTATTAATTATTAATTATTTATTATTAGTATTATATATTTATTAATATATAACCCTTCTTTATTATATTCGTAGATTCTAAACCCTAAACCCTAAACCCTAAACCCTAAACCCTAAACCCTAAATAAATATAAACCCTAGATATAATTACAACCCTAGATATAATTAAAATATTTTTCTAAATAAACCCTAGCTTACCGTAAACCCTAATAACGTAAACCCTAAACCCTAAACCCTAAACCCTAACCCTAGCTAACCCTTATGTACTAAACCCTAAACCCTTTTTTTTTTTTTTTATACATAAAACCCTTTTTATAGATGTAGTTATAAAAGGAGACAATTGTGTCTCCTTTTCTCTTTAGCAAAAAAACAAACGAATGCAGCAGCAGCAGCAGCAGCAGCAGCAGGTGGTTTTGCTGCTGCAGTTGTTGCTGCTGCTCTGCTGTATCTGTATCTGCTGCTGCTGCTGCTGCTGCAGCTGCTGCTGCAGGGAGAGAGCAGCAAAAAATTATGCCTTCTGCTGTTTATCCATCTGTATGTGCCTACATAGTCCCTGTTGAAGCAGCAAGCTGCTGCTGCTGCTGTTGCTGCTGCTGTTGTTGCTGCTGCTGCACTGCTGCTGTTGTTGCTGCTGCTGCACTGCTGCTGTTGCGTATTTTGCAGCAGCTGCTGCATTAAAAGGAGCAGCAGCAACAGCAACACCTTTTGCAACTGGATCAGCAGCAGCGGCTAGTGGGCTGCTGCAATTGCTGCTGCTGCTGCTGCAGTTGCTGCTGCTCCTGCTGCTGCTGCTGCTGTTGCTGCTGCTGCTGCTGCTTAGATAAGAATAGTTACAGGAGGTTGCGGATAAGTAATATAGACAGGGGAAGGGTCAACAAGAGTAACTGTATAACTCTGTGGTGCCTTAACAACAATTCTTACTGGTTGCTGCTGCTGCTGCTGTTGCTGCTGCTGTTGCTGCTGCTGCTGCTGCTGCTGCAGCACACAGACCACTGGAGGCTGCATAACTACCAATGGTACAGCAGGAGCGACTGGCCAATAGACAGGCGTAGTGACGAGAGCAAAACCCATCTTACCGTCGAGTCCTGCTGCTGTTGCTGCTGCTGCTGCTGTTGCTGCTGCTGCTGCTGCTGTTGCTGCTGCTGCTGCTGCAGGGAAGAAGCAGCTTTTAGATAGATTATTAACAAAAGGAAGAAAAATAAATTAAGAAAAAGAAGAAGAAGAAAGGAGAAATAAAAGAAGCGCAAAGGAATATGCCTTGTACCTACCGATGCTGCTGCTGCTGCTGCTGCTCTGCTGCTGCTGCTCTTATGTGTGTTGCTGCTGCTGGTGTTGTTGCTGCTGTAGTAGGCAAGAAGGATGAGGAAAGGAAGTAAATAAAGGAATAAAATATAAATAATAATTAACAACAAATAAAATACAATTAAATGTACAGAGGCGCTGCTGCTGCTGCTGCAGTGACCGCTGGTACACCGCTAGGCAGACGATGATGCCAGCAGCAGCAGCAGCAGCAGTAGCAGTAGCAGCAGCAGCAGCAGCAGCGGCTTCCCGCGATGCATGCACGAGGGTCTGGATGCTGCAGTGTCTGCTGCAGCTGCCTGTACACCTGAATTGCTAAGAGGCATTTTATAAGCTTTTCTTAAGCAGCAACAGCAATTTAGCTGCCGTAGCGACGACAGCAGCAGCAGCAGCAGCAGCAGCAGTAGCAGCAGCAGCAGTCTTAGCTCCATCCAGCAGCGACGCATTGCTGCTGCTGCGTCCTGTGTCCTTTATCTGCCCACTATATCCTGCTGCTGCTGCTGCTGCAGCAGCAGCAGCAAATGCAGCTTATGCTGGGGTAGTGTATACTGCAGCGTAACCGGCAGGTGCAGCAGCAGCGTCTGCTGAAGCAGAACGCCAGCAGCAGCAGCAGCAGCAGCAGCAGCAGCAGCAGCAAGGAAGCACCATCTCTGCAGCAAAAGACAGGTGAACTACAGCAGCAGCAAAGGGGAGAGAGACGAGCAGCAAATTGGCAGGAAGAGAGGCGTTAAGCTTACGTGTTGCTGCTGCTGTTGCTGCTGTTGCTGCTGCTGTTGCTGCTGTTGCTGCTGCTGTTGTTGCAGGCGCATGCATCGTGTGCTTCTTTTCTCCACTATAAGCAGCGGAATGTGCTGTAGGAGCAGCAGCAGCAGCAGCAACAGTAGTTACAGCAGCAGCAGCAGCAACAGAGTCAAGACAGCAGCAGCAGTGTTGACCCTTCAGCAGTAACAGCAGCAGCAGAAGTAACAGGAGCAGCAGCAACAGCAGCAGCAACAGGAGCAACAGCAGCAGCAAGATGGGGGAGGCGGCGCTGTTATCAGCACTTAATTCTTTCTTCTCCTCTACAGACCCCACAGCCCATAGACAAGCGTAGGGTTTAGGGTTTAGGGTTTAGGGTTTGGGGTTTAGGGTTTAGGGTTTAGTGGTATAGGATTGAATATAAGATTCTTAGATTGGTGGTCTAGGATTTAAGGGTTTAGGGTTTAGGGTTTAGGGTTTACGACTGTGGGTCATGGGGGGAATAACTCCTCGACGGTTCTAGGGTTTAGGGTTTAGGGTTTAGGGTTTAGGGTTTGTGTCTTAGGGATGAATGGCTGCGTACATGGCAGCAATCTGCTGGGGCTTGGGAGTCTGCCCTCCAACTCCTTGAACCCCGTCAACCTCCCTTGAGTGACTTGGTAAACCCTAAACCCTAAACCCTTTTAATAAGACGATGTAGTATGCACATACCCTATGAACATCTCTGATTAGTGTTTTGCTGTTTCCTAGTAATTATTAGTGTTTATTAGTGTTTATAATTGTTTATAATTGTTTATAATTATTTATTAGTGTTTAAAATTGTTTATTAGTGTTTATAAGGGTTTATAAGGGTTTATAAGGGTTTATTAGGGTTTATGAGGGTTTAGGGTTTAGGGTTTTGGGGTGTATATACAGGTAATTTCATTTGCTGCACAAACCCTTCGTACAAAATGTAACTTTGATACCCATCAACTTCCTCAAGAAGCATTAACTTCTCTTGTTTATAAAATTGCTGCTGCTATTAAATTACATCAATCCAAGTAGGGTTTAGGGTTTAGGGTTTAGGGTTTAGGGTTTAGGGTTTTCTAGGATTTTCTAAGATTTTCTAGGGGTTTCTAGGGTTTAGGGTTTTGTTAGATTCCCCAACAACAATCCCAACAAATTATTTATATTTATTTCCTAAACCCTAATCCTCCTTATAACCCTCCTCAACCTCCAACCTCTAAACCCTAAACCCTAAACCCTAAACCCTAATTAGTGTTTCATTTTTTTTTTTTTTTTTTTTTTTTTTTTTTTTTTTTTTTTTTA